CATGTTCACCGATGATGGTCCAAATCGACATTTTTCGAAAAAAGTCGGAAAAAAGAAACCTGGACGTGCAGGGAAAAAACTGAAAATGCAGAATAGCTACATAAACTGTGCCGCAACTTCCTATACTAGTCATTTCAAATGAGATTTTGTTCACTCAAAATTCGTATTATCATAGTGTTACTTTTCTTGTTTGAAAGTTATCGTGTTAACAAATTTTTGCGTACAGGGTACAGGATATGGGGTATAGGGTACAGGGTACGCACATACATTCGGACATCGAAAAAACGCTAGATTCATGTTCTTTGGCTCCAAAAATACCCAGAAAACAGATTTTTGGTGGGTGTTAATTTTTCGACCGATTCCAAGACTAGGTGTGTGCGGAAAAGTAAAACAGAAACAAATACAAAACTCACCGCGTAAATAAATCTATTGAGTAAAAACACAAAAACACTATATTGAAATAACAAGAAAGAAACCGATTTTATGAAACGACTGTGATGCGATGCACGATGATTACGAGGCACCCTTTTGAATGTAAACAAATACTGTCGGCTTCGATGTGACACACACAGCGGCCAACTGTCAAATGTTACACATATTCAAATACATTTCGAATTCGAAGTAGGAAGTTCCAATTTGCATTCATAAAATAAAAAAAAAATATTTGCAATAATAAACGATTAGAAAAAAATTTGTTACCGAATCCAAAATCAAATCACACAAATGCAAATATACACATTTTTTATTTTTTACTTGCGTCAAATGAATAATTAGAATTGAAATATAAAATTAAAACTTAACGTTGTATTGAGTTGGGTTCACATTGTAGTGCAGAATATGGAATCTGTATGCCTACTCGTATAATCTACTTTAATACTGTCAGAGCGTTACATTTTTCAACGTTAAAATGGATATAAATTTTTGCGTTGCTGTAAAATCCATTCTAAGTCCGGCTCTTTTTTATGCAATTTAGCAAGATCGAGTGCACGTTCCCATCTATGCATTCGTACCTAGGGTTGATCAGAAGAAAAGAATGAGAAAAATGGAAATTAATCAAAACTTAATGGAACAGAATGAAAAATGAAATTATAAAAGAAAGTACTTTAGGCGCAAAATCAATGACCACAACATTGCTTTAATTTGAGATTTGGTAGTAGTTGTAGTGTTGAGATTGCTAATCACTGTGGGAGAGAGAAAAAAGACAATAATAAAAATGGCAAATAAATGTACTCGAATCCGGGTACTGCTACTTCTAGCCTAGACAACTAGAAGCCTCAAGAAGTTTTTGATTAATTATTGTAAGGTTTATGGTTGTCCGTGCATGCCAAAATTTATTCCTTTATCGAATACTTATTTCCCGAAAGATATTGAACATGCACTGGTAATGCAGTACTAATTCAATAACTACCGAATTTTAATGTCTAAGAGCAGTCAAGTTTTTTGGCCAATTAATAAAGTATTGACGTATAAATATTTCAGAATGTGTAGCGTGTGTATTGTACGGAAAGAAAAATTCACCAAAATTGTGATTTTTTTGAATGGCCTATATGATATCGTGATGACATAAAGATTTGTATACATGCTATTTTCTCTCAAAAATAACATTCCGAAAGTTTGAGGCAATATTTTAATACAAATTGAAGGTACCTCCCATACAAAATTTCAGTTTTTGAGCACCCAGGGGAGTGCACCCTATATTTGTGATTGAAATTTCTTCCAATTTGGTGAAATTATATATTTTGATGAGAAAATAAGATCCACAAGTTTTAATTGTGATTAAGTTACTGCAAGCATACATTTTGGAAAGAAATTCGATCAATTTCGAGTGAACAAAACGCCCTAACTACATTACTTAATCACCGTGGAAACTTGTGAATCTTATTTTCGTGCCAAAATACATAATCTCACCAAATTTGAAATATTTTCAATTAAAAGTACTCCCCGTACAAAATTTTCGATTTTCCGCTCAAAAACGAAAAATTTGTATGGGAGATACACCTAATTTTGATTTAAATTTCTCCAAACTTTCAGAATGTTATTTTTTTGTGTAAAAAATAACCTGTGCAAAGTATCACGTCATAAAAGCATGGCATAAAAGCATGGCACACATAAAAAATTCAATTTTTCGCGATTTTTCAATGAAACTCTGTTAAAACTTGATTGTATCTCAAAGTTAACGTCGGATTCAGTTTTCTCGTGCCAAAAAACCACACAATACACATTTCAAACTTGGATTTACGTCTCTATGGAAAGATTTATCGAGTTAACAAATTTTTGTATACCATAACCCTTGGGGGTACACCTGGTGGCACCTTGGATACGCCGATGAACGAATATCGCTCGAAAACAATACCAGCCTATTCCTCGCAACCCCCAACCACCCAGTAAAATAAGATTTAGATTCACATCCCCACATTAACATGGCCAAAAAATTCACATTAACATGGTTGCTCTGTGATTCTCTATACCCAAAACACATATATGTGTCTATAGAAAAACGATTTTTAGCTATTTCAAAGTTTTGGGTTGATTGCATTTCTTTACTGCACACTTTTTTTTGGGTGTGCGGAAAAGTAAAACGCATGTCTACACTGAATTAGACGAGTGGTTTGCATACGAAGTGTTGGCGCAATGTATTCCAGTGTTAAAAAGAATACATTTTTTTTGAATTTATGCATATTTAAGTGTTTGCATGTCTAAACCGAATCCACAATGTCTCTCAGTCTTTTTTGGAAAATTTATGACATGGTTTCTTTCGTTTCATGGTACTGCAACAAAACAGATGTTATTTTGCTTGAATTATGTATTCCATAAGTTTTGTTGTAAGTAAGATATCTTTTGAATTTTCTCTTACATTACACACAGTGGGTGTGCGGAAAAGTAAAAAACAACTCACTTGACATGATTCGTTGAATACGCTCACTTGGAAATCGAGATAAGTATCGAAATCTTGACTTTTGGGTTTTGGTTGCTCTGGGTACAATATAATTACCGATGGACGTTGTTGCTACTGTTGTTGTTGCTCGTGTTTGTGCTTGTACTAGCTACAGCCGAACCGATGTTGTTATTATTCGACTACAGTGGCGGCTGCTGCACATCAAAACATCAACCGCAATGTTCACGCCTGACCATTAATAGATGCGCGCTTACACCATTCGAGAAGCCGACTATTTACTCGGTTTATTTACCATTTGTTGATTGTTGTTTTTCAATATCGACGAAAAGTTTCCAAAAAGTTGGTGAACAGTAAATTGGTAACATATTGATCCATCCTTCGGCTCATCTCTCTACTACCAAATCTCAATTTTTGTCAGCAATCTGTTTGCTGTTGAAACTGTATGGTCATTGGTCAAACTATAGAGATTCTAACAATCTAATGGTTTCTCAATCATAATGGATCAGGAATTGTAGAGCAATGGAATAGTAATTTTTGAGTAAGTATGCCTCAATACGTACACATAGTTGAATTGCTTCGCTGACTTTATTGTTATGCAATAGAATCGTTTCAGCTTCATTGCTCCGTCCCATCATAACAGAGGTTTCGGCCATTTGTTCATAACTGTTTGGTGGCAAATTCTAAAATTATTGAATTTAATATGTTTTATTACAATTGAAAAGTCTATATTAAGTCTATATTATTTTTATTTTTATGTATTATTTTTACACACCCTCTTACCTTTATGTGTTGCAAGTATTTCACTTTATCAATTTGCAACGATGCTGAGTATGCTTCTTCAGCAATTTCCAGTTGATTCTTCTTTGATGAGATTGCTGCGAGCGTTGCCCAAAGTATCGAATCCTTTTAAGAGTCACATTTTAAGTCTTTTTAATATAAAAATTATAGTTTAACTGACTAACTTGAATTCGACGGCACAACGATAACGCCTTTACCCATAAGTCATCGTTGAGTAATTTGTGTAATGTTTCACAGAACAAATGCACTTGTATGGGATATAAAGCACCGGAGCTTTTGAATATAAAAATTAAAAAACAATTAAATAAAAAAAAAAATGAAAATAGTCCACAGTATTTTTCGATATTTTTTCTATGTAAAACCTTTTCAATGTTACTATGTTCCCTTCGAAGTTCTCCAGGACTATGTTTTTGCCCAACTCTCTAAAAAGTAAAATTTATAAATGAACAAACAAAATGAAGTGACCAAGTTTATTTAAAATATTACGGAATATGGAATGTATATTTTGTCAAAGCTACTACGGTAGGATCCATGCAGGCTTCTCCAGGACAGTACCATATGGTGTACGAAGCGTCATGCAATCCAACCAAAATATTTGCTTCACTAGCCCACATCGTAGAAATTACTTGTGTTCCTAGGGATTGAATACAGAAATAAATAAAATGTCTTACATCCGTAAGATGCATTTTTCCGCGAAGTAACGAAGCATTACTTTAATGCTATTACAATTGTAATGTTAGATTTTTAGCATTACAGTAATATCTAATACAATTGTAGTAGCTATTACTCGTAATGTTTCGCTACAATAATAATGCGTTACCCAACATTATAGTTTTAATGCCGGGAAATCTGTATATACAAAAGCTACTAAAAATGTACTGTATGATATCGTAATGACGTTACTCTTTCCACGGTTTTTTTTTCTTTCAAAAAGCTAACATTCTAAAAGTTTGAAAAAATTACGGGTAACTCCCGAACAAAATTTAAACCGTTAAACTGCGTCGCATATCAAAGCGAAACAAAATTCTGTTACTAAAACAAGGCAGAACAGTAGCTAGTTATCAGCACAAAACGAAACTTACATATTTTATTACATAAAAGTCAATGTTCTATATTCCTTTGTTAACAAAATATTGTCTCGCTTTGATATGCAACCGTTTTGAGTCGCGTTTCGATATGCGAGTAAACAATAAGTTGTTTTTATTCTAGAGCGTTCAGTTCATCTTATGGAGAGCAAGACATTTAATTTATATACGAACCAATTTTATGAATTTCAAAGGTTGAATCATTTTTTAAAGATGTACAAAATATATCCCGGTTTGTATCAATAAATACCATGTATTGATCGTTTATAGCACCAGCGCGACTCACAACGATTTGTTGAACGGTGGTTTTAGTATGACATGTGGTGATATCATTTTGACGTGATGCGCCAGGAATCAAATCGAATACATGTATTACTAAAAAATATTGGATCATCAGCGTTCGTAAAATATGTTGCAAATAAAATCATATTTTCAAAAACGTACAACTCTCATCACCACAATCTCGAACAGCCATGTAATGTAAACCTAATGAGAGAATTTTCTCATTTAACAAAGCCAACTGAGCTGTCAAACCCGGAAATTTCGGTGTTAAATGCAGACGTCCAGAATAAGTGAAAATTGAAACCGTAGCAGAGTCCAATACAAGAAAATGTCTAATTTGTTGTGAAAAAAATAAAATTAATTACTATCTTTGACATATTAAATTCGTATATACAAACGTACTTTTTCGCCAGAATTAAAACCTTAACATCAGGCCGAGCGTCGATAATAGAAAGAGGTGTGTTTGTATATTTTTCATTATAAATGTGTACTTGATTCGTCGTTGCAACTACTAAATACCCGTACCCAATTTCCTGGAGAAAGATGAAGAAAAATGGAAATAATGGAAAAATTATCGGAAAAATGCAGCCAATTACCCATTTGATTATTCGATCAGGAAAATCTAAGGTATCAATTGTTCGAGTCACAATATCTTGCAGTTCAATTTCTTTACGGGAAATGGTTTTTGCCTTGAGATTTCGGCTTGCTTTCTCTTCCTCAATTATGTGAGCAAATAGCAATGCACCTGTACCACTTCCTGCTGCAATTTGTGATCCATCTTTTGACCAACGAATACTATACACAGATCCGATTGGTGGTGAACTGAATTTCATATTGCTGTAGGCCCACTTGATTTTGATAGAGGAATTTTAATTTGGTTATTATTATTATTAATGATTAGTGATCATTCTTACTTACACCAGTATAGTGGCAAAGACGAAGCATATTAAATCCACCCACTGCTAAATATAAACCTTTGGGTCCGAATTCTACCGATGTGATGCTATAATCTTCCACAAAGCTGGCATAAATCAATGAGCCTTGATTGTCCCAAATTTTATATTGACAATCATCTCCACCACTTGCAATGTTCTGAGTCTCGTTTGACCAACTCATGCATAGTACACTGCCAGAGTGAGCTTTCCACTATATAATGTTGACTTTAGTTTTATAACTCTGTTAATATTTAAAAGAATATTATTTAAGCTTACTTTGATTAATTTACTATTTGCTGCCAGTGGTTTGATTGCAATAAATGACCCAGTGCAGTATGCAATGGACATAGAATTGGCTGACCAGCACGCGATTCGTACCGGTGTTTCATTCTGGATTATTGTTGATCTCAGCATTCCAAGCTTAGAAAAAACTTTTATCGTTCCATCTTCTCCCTTAAATGATTATGATGAAAGCATTATTGAAATACAGTTTAATCACGATAGTCAAAACAAATTAGGAAAAAAACACAGCTTATGTTCATTATGTAATATGTGTCTCTGTTTTTCAAATGAAATGAAATACCGCAGTAAGAAGACCAGTTCCATCGGGGCTCCAACGTACAACATTTATGGATCCAACGTGTGCATTAACAATACGTTCAGCTCGTGCACTCCGATTCAACATTATGAAACGACCATCATTACTGCAAATTAAAAGCGAGTCATTTGCTTTGTTACCACTGCTATTACCAGTTGATTTATTTGATGAACGATTCCCACAGAGCCATTGCAAGTCATTTGGATAGAAATCTTCTGGTAATTTGGCCACCTGAGTTTCACTTCTAGTTTTTGTATCCCATTTAAACAACTGCTGGTCATCCCTTAATGAAAAATGAAACCATTTGAAAACGAGTCAAGATAATTCAGGAAAAAATGATTTCTTACCCAATTGTATAAATTTCATCATTCTTGGACCAATCCAAACAGCACAGCACTCCAGTGTGTTTGATTTCTTTGCAGATATTTATTTTAAACTTCATTGCACAGGTAAAACTTCTGATCTATCACAAAGCAAATAGTTCAAAAGAAATAGCAGTGACATTAAAATACAGCATAATAGTTTGTTTATATACAAATGGTTTCTGTAGCAACCGTTATGATTCAAAATTATAAAACGAAGTTTATAACTGAAAATTTTAGTGAATCATTTGCTTTTCGAAATATATACGTTATACTGCAAATTTTTAGTTATTTATTTATTTATCATTTTGATTCAAAAATGAATTTTAAAAAATGTTACCATAGAGTTCCGATAATACCGGTTTCAAGAGAAACCCGTGTATGATTGCACATCTTGTACATTCCGGTACAAAATGCATTATTTTTTCTTTTCTCTGGTCTTTTTCCTGTTTTTCTGAAAATTTCCATTGATAAAATATAACATTTAATTTAAATACCGAAAACTTCAACTTTAAATTAGAATTCTCAAAAGGTTACTTTTATATACATAAAAATACACCGAATAAATATATTTAATTTGACAGACTGAATTTTCGCCGCAGTTGGTAGCCCTGATATATACTTCTATTGATATTGGTGAGTTTCTATACAATGATACAAGTGAACATGAATACATTCGTATTTTATGCACGCATACGTCAATGTTAAAAACAAATCGATGCTGACAAAAACTTCACCAAATCAGAATATTGGGTAATAGCGATTCGGCTGAGTGTATGCGTAAAACACGAATGAACTGCAAACTGGCGACATCAACCAAAAGAAAATAATTTTAAAATTGCTTTATAAATTTAAAGTTGTGTTTCTTGAGTAAATAGTTTATGTGTTTGTGAATAAAGGACAATAGACATTCAGACAGACTTTTTTTGAAAAATTTCTTCTACATAGAAGACATTTTTATCGTCGTTTTGGGAGAGAAAAATAAAGGGAGCCAAAGCGAGACAAAGAAACACTTACATTCAACACAGATATTCATGGGAATTGATCGACATAAATAAAACAAATAGGAAGAGAATTACAATAGCTGGTAAGAAAAATACCTTTCTTATGATTTATTGATTTTATCCAAACGAATGTTTTGTAAAAATGGATTCAAAGTCTTCTCAATAATTGCGGCTTTCTACAAAAATGTTAATCAATATATATAGTCTCAGCACTAGTCATGTATAACTTATAAAATATTTAGAATTGATGAAATAAAAAGATATATATCATGCATTACAAAAATAAAATCGAAATTTGCCACGAAGTAGACACCGGCCATGGATCATTTCATTAAATTTTGTACAGAATTTGTATGGAACAAAGCATGAATGTGTATAACTTATGAAATCCAATGACAAAAATCGATATTCTCAGTGAGAATAATCCAGTTTTATCAGAGTGTTCGTGCGTGCGCCACAGTTCACCGTATTCCATTTCGAGTTGTGAACATGTGTATCTGTGTATTTATATCAATGGTTGAAGTGCCGTTGTTGATGTCAAAGTATGCGTTCAAATTCTAATAATATCAGTCCATGTATGCGTGTGTTTTATTTGATGTGAATATTGGCAATGTAATTGTGCATAGAATATAGTACCTGTCTCCCGTCAAATAAGAATCCGCATTCGAATATGTCAAAATATACAATTTGTTTAAGTATTGTTTTAATTTATTGATTTTTTTCTTAATCATAAACTGATGATAAAATTAATAACAGCATCTTCCGAAAAACCACTGAATTTATTTTCTCGAAACATCAATCATCATTGAAACAAAACCAATATTAAAGCTTACCGTATATGGTATGTCGTTGTTTTCACGCCCTTTTTGGTTTCAAACTATGTGTTATAGGACGCTTAAAATAAAATGACATGTTTCCACATCTCTTTTCCGACACAATTATACGCGTGCCTTGAAATAGGATCAAATTATTTTGACACGCACAAGTACAAACACAAAATGAAAAACCATTAAAGGTTTGCTTGAAGTAAGGCAGCAGACGATTGTCATAAAATGAGTATAATAAATTTGAAACATTCACCAGAATAAACAATTGATGCAAAAAAACGTATTCACCTAATTCAAGATTTATTATTTTTTACCAGAAAACCAACTGTCGTGAGTTGCTTCTCGGTTATTGATTACCATTTTTTGATGATATTTAAAATGCCCGTAGATTAGAATAACCTAGCAAATTTCTCTTAATCTTTTTTTGTGGTTTTTTTTTGAATTTCCAAACCTTTTACTTTAAAATTGTTATAAATAAAATAAAGGCTATAATTTCATCGGTCGAATATATGTCAGACCACAATTGTTGTGTGGAATAAAAAAAATTTCCATGCCCGTGGGTACGTGTACTTTGGCTAAATTTTCCGCATTGTGAAACTCAAGAGAACGTATAAAGAAATACGTTATCGCATAATTGCAGTCAAAATGCATTTACCAATCAAAAGTGTTTTATTTATAAAAAAA